CTCAAGCAACTCGGACCACGGAACGTTTTTCAACTCTCTAGGAGCTACGAGTGCTGCGGCAATATCGTAAACGGTGGCTCCGCAGTAGATTAGGAAATAGGATTTTTTCCGATGCTCTCCCGCATCTGCCAGGCCGACCGCATCGATGTAATGGTTGAAGCGGTTCTTATACGATTCCCACTTCTCTTCGTCTGGCTTGAACGCCGGGAATACTGGGTTGGAACTCATGGTGCTGGGAGCGGCTGGGCTACCTGTGGGAAAAAATCTCTCTGGGGACAACGGGCGCTCGTGGGTTGCAAGTGAAATCAGCTCTGGAGAGGGTTTTTTGCTATCCTCTCTTTCTCTCTGGGTTAACCACGTTGGCTGTTAGCCGTTGGAGGTGTCTAGATTCGCGCCAGCGTGGGCATTAGTGACTTACTACAGCGCTGTGCTGTGTCTCTCTTGGTTTGAAATTCAAATGACACCCGTTTGAATTTCGCGCCTAATACTGAGCGACTGCGGCTCGCAGCGCTTCGCTTTACCCGTAGCTGGGCTAACAAGCGGCTACAGATGCTTCTAACTTTTGAACCAGACCGCTCTCTCTGGCTGCGGATCAACGTTCGCTCTTTTCGTCGGCTGGCCGCTCTCTCTGGCTGCGGTCAGCGTTTCTCTTGTAGTCGGCCGATCGCTCTCTCTGGGTTGCGGATCGGTGACTAGTGACTCAGCGGTTGCATGGTGCTTCTGGTAGCCATCCCATCCTCGTCGCCAGGGTTAAGTTTGAGCAATGAGAGGCTGAACCAGAGCATGAGTGCAACAATACTTTATTATAACAATAAAGGGCTGACCGTGCTTGCCACGCCTGGAACTGGCTCGCAGCAATCAGCGACTGGTTGGACCCCGCAGCCTGCTTTTATAGCTGGCTGCTGGGGGGAATCAACCAATGAGGAAAAGGGTAATAACGCCCACACAAAGTGAGTGGACCTGAGTGAGAACTCCTAGAGTCCTCAGGACATAACAGTAAGACTAGCAGAACTAATGGTGAGGAGGAGGAAAGTGCCAGTTTTGAGAACACTTTGCCAATGTTTGAGAAAAAGATGGCCGCTTTTCTGCCATGTGGCCCAGCAATGTCCTCCTTTCTTACCCCAGCACTCTGAGCTCTGGAGATCTTTGAAAGGTAAATGAGTGGTTGTTGACAGGGGTGGGGAGGAGCATGTGGAACACAGGCCCAATTCCTGTGGGGGACCTTGTGGAACAAGATAGGGGAGGAATAGGTGGGCATTTTGCTGCATTTTTACAGTTGATCATAAAGGTGAATGACCACAGGGGTGCTGCAACACGCACAACTTTGGGACTAGGTTGTGAATACTCGGGGGGGAGGGTCTGTTGTAATTGTGAACAATCACTAATTGATCTGTCATAATTTGAGGACTACCTGTATAACTGATTTGTTCTATGACCTGATTTTAAGAATTATATATTATTATCTGTTTAGAATAACATGAGTTCTGGCTTATTCATCATTTTAGATTTTTTACATAAAAACAAAAAAACCCAAGTGATGCTTTTCCTCAATATTATTATAAAACAAGTTGATTTCTTACAAGCAAGATAATTCAGACATTTAAAGTTATCTTTGTAAATGAAAAAAACCTTAGAGTTTCTACTTATTTCTTGCCCCACTGAAACATGAGTAGAATTAAAGTTAGAAACCTAGAAATAGTTCTGTCATCACAAATAATTATCAGAAGTAAAGTGATGTACTTTAGGGAAGAATAGATTTCATACCATACATCAAATTATACTGTTTTCATGGAACATCTCTTATTAATAGGACACATATCAATAATAAAACAGATAATCTGTTGGAAAGACTATAAGTAGTACTAAAAATATTTTGGTAGCTTTCCCAGTTTATTAAAAAGAAATTCCTAAATCAAAGAGTATAATGTAGCCTAGCAGTTGAAAAATGTAGTCCTCATAACCAATTTTCCATTTTGAATGATGTTGTCTGCATAATTAGTAAATCATTTCACACTAATATCCAGTTCTGCTAATATTAGAAATAGTCATTTTCATACATACTATTATGTACATTTTTTCCCCTGGTATTTTAACATATTTACTGCTAATATCCGTAGCAATACGGGGACATCTACAGGATTTATAGTGAAGATAGGATCTTCTGGTAGGAGCAGAGGGAAATCTGGAATCTTCTATTTTTTAAATTGTCAAAAGAGCATCTTCTTTATCACAATAGGATTTGCTGCTGATGGTATATTTTGTGCACCTAACACAACATAAGATTCTTCTCTATTTCACTGAAACAATGCAGCAGACAGCAGCTTATAGTTTTTTAACATGACCACAACACATTTGCCTTCTCCCTTATTCTTTGTTTTAACATCCAGTAAAAAATATATATTGTGAAATCAATCATATATGTTTTTATTGCTGTTACACTTGTTCAGATGCTGCCTATAAAGCAGCATCTGAAAAAGCTATAATTAGATGCATGTTATTTGCTATAAAGCTATAATTAGATGCATGTCATTATAAGGAAAAATAGCAACTTAGCAGGCAAGTTTGATGGCGCGCATGCCAGGTAAGAAGTGAGTGGGTGGGGCGGGGGGGGGCCAGCCAGTGGCACAATTTTCTGGTTTTCCATCAGGTAGAATCCCACCCCTGATGACAGTGCATTTTGCACGCCCGTGTAGACCATTTCCTAAAAACCTTAGCTGTGCCACCGGACAGCTTACAAGCGCTGCACGAGGGTGCACAGAGTTTGAAAATCCTCTTCTTTCCTGCTTTTTCAATCTCAGCTGTGCTGTGCAAAGCAGCTGAAGTTGAAAAAGCAGGAAATAAAGGACAGCCAAGAACTTGCATGGGCCAAACGGAGCAGCAGACACTGAACCAGTGTTTTCAGAGCTACCAGTTCTATAGAACCGGGCCGAACCAGTAGCATCCCATCCCTGCTGTAGACCTTATTCTTACTGATTTCTCTTCAGGCTGCTTTTCAACTTAGTCCAGACTAAGAGAAGTTGCTTCCTTAAAGTAAGACGAATGTAGTTGGAACAAATACAGTTTCCAATTTGAAAGAAGCAAACTGTTTCTCCAAGCTAAGGCCTACCCAACCCTATAAAGGTTCACAACAAAGATACTTAAAATCATGATAGAAGTCAAGATATCTTCTTACCTATCCAGTATAAAATCATTTCTATTTATTTTTGTGAATCATGTTTGTAGGATTAAAGAATTTGAAATAAATAAATGTCTGCTAAGGAATCTTCTGCAAGAAAAAAAATGTACTTGAATCCTGCTATGGTTGCCAACTGATTTTTTGTAATATCTCTGTCCTTAACACTTGTCTGATTTCATTTCCCTGTCAGGAAAATTCTTGTCCAATTAACTGCTGGCCCTAATGCAACAGTTAAAAGCACTGGAAACCTGCCAAGAAAAACCTGATAATTTGTGCACTTTCCATCTATAGAACAATTAAAATGATACATTAATAACTTCTTAATATCAGGATATCCCACCTGCATAACTATAAATAAAAAGTAGACATTGAAAAGTGTTTATAATTTTCTCTAATTTGTTTATTAGAAATTAGTACAAACAGCCTAGTGCTTAGAAACAACATGAGATGGTAAAGTTGTTATGTTATATTGCTTCAGATTTACATAATTAAATGTGCACCATAATTCCCCCCCCTATTTTTAAATTAATTTCTGTAACTGTTCAGCCATACATTAGACATGAATTTGAAATTTTAATTTTGCCTCATCAGAAGTGCAGCATTCAGCTTAAGTGCAAAGGAACTGTTAGATCTGAGAAAAAGAAACTTCGCAATATACAGTTCAGAAGCTGCCTGTGTTCTCTGCTTACAAAATAAAATTATAATTATAGAGTCAGCTATAAAGTGAGGATGAATTAAAAGAAAAAATGAATCATTTTTGGAAACATGCTTCTTGGTGCTAGACTACTAAGCAAACACTGAGAGGAAACAGGCATAAATTATCAACATTGCTCACTAAAGATAGAGAAGCAGCAGCATGTGAATTATGCTGTGGTTCTAAGCTAAATGTTAAGCACATTAAAGTGTTTGTATCTAAAGTATTTGTTCAGGTTCCTAAAGGAAAAGAACACCAACTATTTTGGATAATTAAAATGTCAGAATATTAACTAGCCAATTAATGAGCTGGGTTGCAAAGAGTAAGGCACCATTGTTCTATTAAAGTTAAATTATATAATATGGAAAGATAAAAAAAACAAATACTAATGGGTTGCATGTCATGAATTAATTCAGACATCTCACTAGAAAAAGAAAAAATGCAGAACCCCAATCATCAGAGTTACATGCAGCTGCTGCCCTAAAAGACTATGGTTTTCAGTGAAATGGATGACTAGAAAGAAGATATTTAAGAAGATGCAGTAAAGAAGTGCCAACCAAAATATTTTGTATTTTGGCCAAAAAGTAAAAGACCAGAAATCTCCTTATGGTAGAACAGTAGCAAAGTGCTAAATGCTGAAGCAGAAAAATGAGTACGAGACAAGAAAGAAGAGATAACTCAAGGGAGAAAGATCATTAGACAAATTTTCTCATTAGCTTAGTTCCTTTCCTTTTAATCTTCCTGGCATCCCTCAAGACCTGTTTATACCATCAAGCCTGAAGACTTGTTTAGATAGCTGCACTATCGAGATTGAGTTATTTTGCAAATGGATTACTTGGTGATGATGTAGGCTGGGCATACCTTGGATATCCTACTACTGTGGGGAGGAGTTTCCAGTGTTGAAACTCAAGGATCTCAGACTACATCTTCACAGTCCTTATTTTCTGGCAGAATAAATATATATAACTTTAATAAACTAGTACTCTAAGGCATTGAAAATTCTGCATATGGTATGAAGCGTTATCTATTCCTTATTTTTCCAGTTACAGTAGTTTTGATTAATTTTATATTAATTAGTCTATTCACACACGTGTGAAACATATGGATATATGTGTGTGTATTTTGACTCACCATATGTATATTTCATGGCACAAAAGATCTTAAAATTTTGCAGAACTTGGTCTTTACATTCACACTTGCCTGTGGAAACACCAAAACACCTGTTACTATGAATCATTTCTAACTACTATTACATCATATTAAAGTCCCCAAATGCATGATATGGTTGCCCATATTCCCTGAAGTGAACTTGAAAGGAATGTATTATATATAAGAATATATAATACTTAATGTATTGTAATTTGGAAGGATATATTTTTTCAAGAAATGGATTATTTTTGCATGAAATACTGTTTGTGTATCATGGTGAGACTGCAAGTCCTGTATTGCTCAGAATATTTGAAGAAGCTCCTTGAAGTCTTAATAGGCTACAAATGGGGAACATTTTGAAGGAGCTTAATTTTGGGATTAATATTTCTGAAATTCTAGCTATACATTGGATCAAATTGCCCACAAATACTAATTACTGTGGAAAGACTATTTTTTTTTGGGGGGGGGGGGGTTAGGTCTCCATCTCCTTTTGTGTCAGAGGCATCTGGATAACTACTATGAGAAACAAAATGCTGAAATAAGAAATAACTCTTGGCCTAATCCAGCAGGATTTTCTTGAGTTCTTGTGGCTTTCTCCCCAGGTTTCCAACTGGTCCTTGTTTGTTTCATAAAAGAAATGTAAAACTTCAGAATATATTCTTCCACTACCAACAATTCTTCTAAAATTTCTTCAGGAAAAGAAACTTATCATAGGCTAATTCAGACTAAATCTTCTGACACTTCATAGTTTTTCTGTGTGGGATTCTTAACCTTGCTAACAATAATTTCCTCCTTTAGTTAGATGCACTAGAAAGAATATAAAAAGGAAAAAAAAACTTTATATTTCTGCCCAATCCAATAATATAAATATTAATAAATATTTTGTCATGAAATCACAAGGGATAGCTTACCCAATCCTGCAGGCGATGGTTTTAATGAGATACACTTTCTTTTAATATACCAAGCTAAAATGTTAGAAGGAATTGATTTGGGGAGAAAAGGAAAAAGAAAAGTACCCAACAGTGATACACGTAAAAGTCTAAAATCAATAATTTAAACCTAACAATATTAGTTACTTATTTGCATAAAAATTTGGCTTTCAGCACACAGGTAATGTTCATTCCAGAAACAATGAATGGAGAGAGTTTATCAGGGCCAGGAAGAGGAATATGTCCCTCAGAAAAGCAGTATCTTGCCTACCCATGCTCTAATTCTTGCTCAGTTTATTCTTAATTTTCTGGCTTTTTAAAACATAGGCCTAGAAATTTGGGTAATTAAAATCACTTCATCAGAATATGATTCTAGATTAGATCTTGTTTCATTTACTGAAGATTTTGTCTTTTATTTGTGATCTTCTAATGGTTTTCCCATCATTTCTCAAAATCAACTTTTCATTGATTATTTATCAATAAGACTATCCTCCTAATGAGATGACTAGCAGGCCTATGAACACATTCTTACCTGAATGTCGAAGAGCAGAGTATCCTTGTTCTTCCTCCCACTCCCAAGCAACTTCACTCTTGTTATGTACAGCATAGAGACCAGGGATTTCATGGTACCATTCTATGTCTGCATTGCTAAAATCAAAGAAATAATATAAAAATTTTCTTAAGAAATCAGTTCAGTTCAAGCATTATTATAGAGAACTGTTTTTATAAGATTTAAGGAGTCAGAAGTAAGTTAAAAAATAATCATGTTAAGAATTTATATGTCATATTTTAATCAGCATTGTTTTCTGTTTGTTTATTTTAAAACTTGCTAGAGGTCTGAACACATTTAATTTCCTTATCAAATATTCTATATTGTTTTTTGGTTCTTGCAGAAATATAACCAAATCATCAGCAAAGATGATTTTATAAACTTCCCTCTTAATATTCATACCTCTTATTTTCCCACCTTGTCTAATATCTCTATTCAAAACTTCCATCACCAAGATAAACAACAACCAAGATAAAGGAATCCTTATTTCGTACCCTTTCGGATTTCACATGAGTTAGTTAAGTTAATAACAATTTTTGCTTGCTGTGATATATAAACAGTGTTGACCCCCTTGAATAAAATTTTCACTAAAGTCCATTTATTCCAGGACTTTAAACATAAAAACCCAATTTAAGTTGTCAAAGACCTTTTAAATATAATACGTATGCATACACACACACACACACACACACACACACACACACACATATGCAGGTCTTGGCGTGTTCGGGTCTTTTCCCCTGTAAGATTGAGAGTACCTTGGCGACGTTTCAACGAGGTCCCACTCGCCATCTTCAGGCTGGTGCTGAAGATGGCAAATGGGACCTCGTTGAAACGTCACCAATATACTCTCAATCTTACACGGGAAAAGACCCGAACACACCAAGACCTGCATAACTGTACCCGTGAAAATCTACGAAAACAAATATGTATGTATATATGTATGTATGTATGCATCTCAGAAGGAAAAGTCATAATGTTAATTTTATATATCTTGCAAGTACTACTAAGCTTTTTTATTTTTGTTCATAAAAGTGTGAATCTGTAAATTTGTGCTTTTTTTGGTGACCTCTACTTCAGACACAGTATTAAAGGTAAATTCTTGCCCCTTTTATGATAAGTCAATTTGTTCAATTTTTCTACTCACCTGTTAATGCAGTCTCCATTGATCGAATCACAACTTCCTGCACAATCACATGGTCGACAGCCATAATGTCCAAATCCCCAGTATCCTACCATACACCGATCACACTGAGGACCAGCCACTCCAGGTTTGCAGGGACAATCACCATTGCTAGGGTCACAGAAAGTGCTGTTGCTAAAAGGAAGCATGGCTGATCCAATGGGGTTGCAAGAGCACACTGCAATATCAGAACATACATATGAGAGGCTGTTCTTCATATTCAATATAAATGACAGCTTGCTTTGTTTGCATATTGTTTCTCTTGGTTATTTTGTCCTGAATATTTAATTTATTTATAGTATCCAGGGGAAATATTCCTCTAGAGTCTTCCAAATATTCCTTTAAAGCTTCTCCTGAAAATTATGCTCTTCTCAAATATATGAGTTTACAGCTAAATACAAAGCAAAAAAGGTTAAATTAATTAAATGAGTACATTTCAAACCCAACAATATAGACAGAGCGGGCATTAGGTTCAAGAAGACATGTATAAATTAGGTGCATGAAATAATGCACACATTATACAGCAAAAGCTTTATTCTAATCTTAGCTCATGGAATAGAATTCAGTTCATCTATAACACTAGAAATAAACATTTGAGGTAAAGGCCAGGGTGTACATAAACATCAATTGTTTTCCTTCCCATTTTTCTAATATCTCTGCTCATTACATTGATTTCTCTGTTTTAGCTAACTAGAACATCATGCTTTAAAGGCGTCTTTGATTCCATCATTTCTGATTTGGCTATAACGTTAAATATTATTTAGATCTTTTTTGGCATCACTCAACAAACTCTGAAGTGCTCTTAATATTTTGAAAAGACTAAATTCATTTTAATGTATGTATAGTTGAGGATTTTTATATTATATGATGTTTACCACTTTATTAATGTGGAAAGCAACTGTATAACAAATGCCAAATGGTATCTGTTTGTATTAATTGTGTGAATTACATTTGGCAAACTTTATAAAAAAGATATAAAGAGCTAAATACCACCAGAATCTGTAATCATCTCTCTCTGCTTAACTGGATACTGAGATTATGAATTCAAACAAACCAATTTACATTTACAAATATAATCCCCACTTTTTAAAAAAGGGTTCATTGCTGTTTTGTTGTGTTTTTAAGAATTAAGAACAATAAAATTATAAACATGAGATCAAGGTAATGATAAAGGTTTAAATTTGAAAAAATACTTTGGGACATATAGGAATGTACATAAAGCATCTATTTGCAATTCATTAGAGGTAATTTGTCAGGATTGTGTAGCTACTTTAAGGAATAAAACAAAGCCTGTTCAATGCATTGTAGATAGAAGTTGTGTTCACTGTACTCTATATTCCTTCTAAACTGAATCCAAAGCACTGCACAGTTCATCATCATGCAAAGCACATAATCCCTCTAATGGCAGCTCTAAAATTATATAAATAATTCTGACCGCTCTATTTGCCTGGGTTAAAGCTAATAAAATTCATAGTTGAACAGAAATGTAGTTGAGATTGAATTAAAACTCAGGTTCCCTTGTTCCAACTCTATGTTGCATGAATATTGTGTCCAGTATTTATTTAGAGAACCTAAAATATTGGTATTAAATAACATGTAAAATAAGTATATTTTAAATTCTCTCCTAAACCATAGCAAGAAATGAACTGTTTCCTCTGCAGTACTTGCTAGTTGTATTTTTTTTAAATATCCAAAGTATATACATCTTTCAGGTATGTATACATAAAAGAAGCCTAAGGTAAAAACCCTAACATATTAATTTTAGAAATCATCCAAATGTTGGAAGCTTGCAAAATTAGTATTGGCTTACATTTGCAGATGTCAGGAGCAGAAAAAGGCTTTCTAAGATCTCGATAATAGCCTGGCTTGCAACGTTCACAGTGCTGTCCTTCAGTATTATGTTGACAGTTGTCACAAATGCCCCCACTTTGGTTCCCTGATGCCAGCCATGTGTCCATATCAAAGTGACAAGTGTCAGAATGCCCATTGCATTTACAAGCTGAAACATACCCAAGATTAAGGAGGGTGGAAGAGAAAGAAAATCAAGATTTTGTTGTTTTGTAAAGAAAGGTACACAACATGGAAACTGTAAATATTGAAAGCAAATGATATTAGAATATATGCTTTCATAAAATGAGCAGATTGTATTACTGTCTAATTTTTCTAGTATATTTAGTTTGTCATACGTGAAATTGATAAAATTATCATTATATAGATGGATAGATGGATGGATAAATAGACAGATATAATTTTTATTTTAATAATATTTCCAATAAAATACTGTAAAAGCAAGATAATGCAATTAAAATTCATTGTCATTTAAAAATGTTAAATTTAATCAAATTTCAAATCAGTTTTTCTTGGCATACATTTAGGATTATTGTAAACCAGGGGTGTCAAACCCAGGACCCGTGGGTTGGATCCGGCCCACAGGTTGCTTAGATCTGGCCCGTGGGATCACCCCAAAACAGCGAAGGACCGGCCCACAGTGCTTCTGCCAGTGAAAATGGAGCTCTGTTTTTATGACAGAAGGTTGCAGGAAGCTGTTGCAACCGAAAATGGAACTCAGGAGCCCGTTTTCACTGGCAGAGTGTTCAGGACACCACAGGCACCCCCTGACACAGGTGATGAGCTGGCCATGCTCCCTGGCCACACACACACCCTGGTTAAACACAACCCTAATGTTGCCCTCAATGAAATCGAGTTTGACACCACTGCTGTAAACAGTGTTTGTTTCTAGGTACCTTTTATATTTTAAATGAAGGCTGCAAACCTTCTGGTTTTAATTCAGAAAATTTTATTTAAATGCTATGGGAAAATATAAGTAACAGTTCCTTGACTTTTCAGTAGACCAAACAATATGACTTTATTCAATCTGATGCTTTCCATATAGTACTAAATAATCTGTTAAGGACTGTTTTTTAAACTTTCTCTCAGTATTTTCAAACAGGATCCCATCACTGAGCAATAAATGGAATTAGATTACCTATATTTCCAAATAATATATTCTAGAGCATGATGATTCTAATTCTCAGCTAACATGGTCTATTTGAAATTAGGAGATTTGTAGTCCATTATATCAAGGCCCCCAGTTCAGGGAAGCTTCAAATAATACCTTCTCAGTAAGTATCTGTTCTTATTTTTGAAAACTGAGACATTCTTTAAAAGGATGCAGATGGTAGTTTTAGTTTTGTCTTGAACTATTTGTCTTGAACTATCATTTGCAGAAGAGAACTTTGTTTTTACACAATAACTTATACATTATTTCATTACTTTGGTCTTATACTTACATTTGCATCCATTTGGAGCTCCTGTTCGGCCATTTGCAGCAAGCCATGGTTGGTCATTGTAAAGAGGGGCACAATGTTGGCAATGAGTTCCTGCAGTATTATGTTTGCAAATACATCTCCCATGGACCTAATAGTTGAAAACAACCATGTCTACAATAGCATGTATACAGATTTCAACATTCAGATATCTCCATTTCACAATTTCACAGAATATGTACTACTCTAAAGCAATAGAATAGCCCTTTGGAACGAAAATAATTCCTTTTTGAAAACTGATGACTGAGAGCTCATCCAATAGATAATCAGCACACTTCTGTACCATGCATTTCATGGCATGTAATACCTTCTAGTTTTAAGAGTATTTAATATTCTTAATGCTGTTTCCTACATAACCCATTTATAGAATTAAGCAAATGCATAGATGCTGGGAAACAGAATAGGGAGAGGCTGCTATAGCTCACACAATAACTATTATTCACATTTCAGTCTTCTATTACATACTTATACTACACAACTTTCCCAACATAGAAGCAATAATACTGAAAAAATTCTGCCAAAAATGAAATGTATTTTTCTGAAAGAAAGTATCACTTAAGCATCACAAACACACCCTGTAGAAAATAAATGATACTGTTGCATTTGTTGAATAATCTTGGAATGACTGATTCCTATTTAATTCTATTTAAAAATAAGATATACATATATTAAACCAGCTGGTTTATATAAAATTATACCCATTGTAATTGACCTTCCTTTAAATACTTGTCTGTTCCTTTTTATATTATTTTTCTTAGTACTTTGTAATTTCAGATTTATTTTGGCTCCAAAGTAGTAAAAAAGAGTGGCCATCTGCTGTACACACTTCATGTATCATACTGTATGTGTTGTAGAATCAAGCTAGAAGATGAAAATGCAATCTTTGGAGGAGCAGGAAAAGTATTGTAGACAAAGATATTTTCTTAAGAAGGCCTGATTGTGGTGGGAAAGGATTTACAGTATTGCAGGGATATTTATGGAAATCATATTATAAAATATTCTTACGATCCTGCAGTGCAACATTATTCAATTTTGCTTAGAATATTGTGACAAGGGTACATAATGGCAGGGAAGACTTAATGGACTTAATACTTCAATGTTTTTATACCCGCATGTCAACTATATGATTTAGGATATTCAAACAAGACATTCAGTTGCATCTGATTTATCATTGCACATATTTACATTGATGATGGAATGTACATATTGAGGCCAGTGTTCTATATAGAGGATTGGAAGTAGAACCCAAGGGAGGCATTCATAACAGTAGGTTTCCTTCCAGCTTCAACAAACGATGACTTTTTGCAGAGACTTCAAGCCCCTAATTTTTATATATAAATGTATTTTGCATGATTACCAATTAACATCTGTAGTTGATTCTGGAATGTAAACATTTCCTTTGGTAATCCTAAAGATATTTTTTCAAGAGGCAACCGGACTTTCTGGTTTTTCTTTGAAGATGTTTCACTTCTCATCCACAAAGTTTCTTCAGCTCAGAACTGAAGAAGCTTCTTGGATGAGAAGCGATATATCTTCAAAGAAAAACCAGAAAGTTCAGTTGTCTCTTGAAAAAGCACCTTTGGGACAACCATGACCTGGATGACTGAGAACCTCCATAGACATTTCCTTTTGTAAATATGAAAAATCTCAGTATTCCTGCTCAGTGATATGGAAAAGACAATATCCCATATAGTGCATCATGTGATACCATATTCATAAAAAGCATGTCAGTTACGAGTTGCATCCCAACATTTCTAGAGGATACTAGATGAACACAGATCTAAATATTTCCATTTGAAAATGTCTTAAGGAATGGCTAAACAGACACATTTCCCAGGCTATTTCATTATTTTGTGAATCAACACAAGGAAGTTCATTTAACCAGAATCCTTTTACACACATGCTATTTTTCATTCTGTCACTAGACCTTTCCCTTTCACTTCACTCTCAGACTGCTTTTCTTCTTAGCTTGACAGCTCTCTCGTAATGTCATTTATTATGCTATACAACGCAAACAGTGTTACAAAAGTTGACCTATGTAAGATAAACGAGTGACTGATTTTCACACATGAAGACAGTTGCTAGGGCATGTTTCCTTCCATTGCCTTTTTGTTCTTGAATTAATATATTCAATTAGTTCTTTTCAAACTGCCTCTTGTTTTTTAAGAAAATCCCTCATGACTTATGTTCCCCCATATACTGTATCAAGAAAGGAGTGACTAATCAGCTGTAGACTAAGTTGCCTTCTCTATACCCCCTTTTATTATTCTTAATTGTATTGAAAGATGCCTTGGGTTTTAATTTAGAAGTGCAGGGAGGTTTGTTTTTAATAGATGTCAGAGGAATGCATGCTGAAAAAGTAAAAGCCTTTGAAACAATATCAAAAAAATAACAGAAAACCATCCTTAGGAAATGGTTTTAAACTATCAATCTTGCACTACACTTTCTTCAAGAGAATGAGAGACAAAATGCCACAGCAATAAATATCTTCTGTTCAGAAACTACACAAAATAAAGGCTTTTTTTGGTATCGTATGACTTGTCTTGAAGCCACTTTGATTAACTACATTTTTATTTTCATTTTGAGTGTATAATTATACTGTGATTGTGAGAATGTTTAAATGGAAATTTATTTATTTATTTATTTGATTTGTCAATCGCTTACAAGATAATAGGTATAAGTATAAACATGAGTAAGAATACAGGAAATAGGTACAAATAAACGGGGACAATAGGACAGGGACAGGAGGCACGATGGTGCACTTATGCACGCCCCTTACAGACCTCTTAGGAATGGCATGAGGTCAAATATATTTTCTAAATAAAAAAGGCTTTTCCAGTTTGGATATTAGCTTTTCTACTATTTCTACTGTTGAACAAGTAATCCTACATCCTATTAAAATTACAAATGAAAGATTTCATTAGATAAAGAATTCATTAACGATAACATTTAAATACTAACAAGTTATACAAGCTGTGGACTAGTTATTTGTCTACATCCACCGACTGACAAAAATGTAGTATTTTTTAAGAAACTTTAAAAATATTTAAATTAATTAATTATTAACCAACCGAAACACTGTAAATTTATGAAGGAGGATGATGTTTTTATGTTTTATGTTTTATGTGTTTTTGTTCGTGGTTAAAATTAATAAAACTTTTTTTCAAAAAAAATATTTAAATTAATTATCTGAAAGATTGCTAAGAAGGTCATTTCAATAGCCTTAAGACCAGGTCCTAAAGAGGGCTAAGAATTCTGAGACTGAGGTTGTAATGAATTATAAAAAAGAACTTAAAAGGTTTTATTAGATATGTGTGGAACTTGAAGAAAGATAAGGAAATTATTAGAGTGCTTGTAGGAAAAGATGCCAAGAGTTAAATATAATAGGGAGAAGGCTGAACTGCTTAATTACTTCTTTGCATCTCTTTTTAATCAAAAGAAAAAAATAGTCCAATCTATCAAAAAATGCACCATGGGGGATAAAAGACAAACAGCAGTCAAATTAGCAAAGATGTTATGAGATAACATGGCGTTTTTAATGAAGTTGCTAGGGTTAGAAGGATTGCATGCCAAGAAATGGAAGATGTGATTTGGAACCACTAACTGTAATTTTTGAGAACTTCTGGAGTACAGGGGAAATGCCAGAAGACTAGTAAAAACTAACATCGTTCCTATTTTTTTAAAAAAGGAACAAAGGAAACCCATGGAACTACAGACCAATCAGCTTGATCTTAATATCTGGAAAAATTCTAAAAAAGATAACCAGCAAGTTTGTAAATGCTTAGAAGAGACAAGGCAATCACTAGAAGTCCACATGGGATTGTGGCAGAATAAACTATTTTTCTGACAAATTGATTAATAGACAAAAAAATGCTTTGGTAAACTTTAGCATTTGTTAAAGTTGACCATAACCTCCCTTCTTAATAAACAAAACAATATGGGATGGATAATCCCACTACCAGGTGGAGTTATAGTGTCTGAACAACCATATCCAGTGCCTGGATCTAAATCTATGTTTACACGGAGGGAGATAGCTCAGGATTCCCTCCTGGACCCAGTCTTCTGCAACATTGATATTATTTACTATATCTTTAATAACACTGAAGTTATTATAGAAATAATCCTTGATTTATTACTGTAATTTAGTCTGGAATTACAGTTGTTACTCTTTGCAGTAGTAATTCTTGGCATCACATGACTACACCTGATTGTTCCAATTTTTTTGAGGTGGTCGTTAAATAAATCAACTTTCCCCAATGTATGTTTTTTGCTGGAAACTAGAAATAAATGTTGCAATTGTCATGTGACCATGGGACACTGCAAATGGCCATAATAGGGAGAAGGAAAGAAGGCTCAGCAATTGAAAAACATAGCATAGTAGAAAATGGTCAAAAGGTTTCAATCCAATATAGCAAAAAAAAAAAAAATCTTTAACATCTGAAATAGGCCCTTTCTACTAGAACAAATGGGGTGAGCTAGTCTGTCTCCAGCAGCTTAGGCAGAGAGGCAGGCAACCTTTTATGATAATCATAAATTGTGCATGGATAAAGGGAAAAGAACATCATTTATAATTCAAGCAACTGGAAAAAGATCATGGAAAAAAGATCACGGGTATGCTAAAACCTCCAGAAATAGGCAGTGACATAACCAGTTTCGACAAAGCAGTCAATCAGGAAAAAATTTCTATCTGAAACAAGTGTTGAGGTCCAAGGGACAGCTAAATGCATGCAGCCCATATAGGTTTTCAAGAACTTTAATGCCATTTCAAAAGATTGGGATTTGAGGTCCTACTGAATTGATTCAGTAACAACCATTTATATTAATCTATTTTATTAATAAGCATATCCATTTATATGCATATAAATATGTATGTACATATGTATACCCATTTATATGTATACCCATTCCATTCAAAGTGCTAGCAAGACTTCTGCATCTTCTTTTAGCCTGAGGCACCTGATGACGTAAGCTAGGAGAAGCAAAATCTGTCATAACTGGCTCATCTATATGGAGCCAAATCTCTGTAATTAGTGCCTATTGCAGAAATGAACTCATAAGTCAATTTTAATTCAAAGTGATCTCAAGTTCCATAAAAACCATAGTATTTGCCACTAAAGTTATGTGGATAATTATATTTTCCAGACAAATCCTTTGAGTTTTTGGGGAGAAGTGAAGAATAATTTGTGTGATTCATGTTAGGATAGGTATTGTTATTATACTGGAGCAGATTAGAATTATAGAATTGTAATTATACAATTATACAAAGTCCTAGACCTCACCTCTCTCTTGTATAACAATATGCTCATATTGTTAAAATAATAGTTGGGTGTGATATAAAAACTAGAATTCCTATTTGCTGTAAATTAAACAAATGCCTTTTTTCTTTGATATTTTTCTGCTCCAATGAGGATCTTTGCCCCTTCATATTTAATAGATTTGCATATATTAAGTGGAACCATCATCTAAGGCTGAATACAAATAGCAGTATTCCCCAATTAGTCCCATACTAAAGACATTTTTAAATCCTAAGTGTGTTTATTAAATTAGTTTCTTGAACATAATTCTTGAACAACAGAAGTTGCAAAAAGAAACAAGAAACAAAACTTAAAGCTTCACTCATATTGGATCCTACAGTTTCTAAATATTTTTGACATGGGTACTTCTCAAAATAAAATCAATAAAGCTATTAGCTTGTTCTAGTGTTTGTGTTATGGATCCTAATATAGCTAAGATGTCTGCCAAAATATTGATTGTTAATATACAGTAGTCTGTTTTGACATTATTGGCTGTCACTGTAACATTTTAAAGTATAGGCTCCTAATAAAGAATAATTTTTTCTTCATTATTATTCTAAGGCATCTAATATTTCAGAGAAGTCATCTGGAAATTCTAATGTTCCATCAAAATGGCATCTAGTTGAGCACAAGATTTTCAAAGAATTATTTACTCTTCCAAGATTTGAACATTACAAACTTACCACGTGGAAGACTCCTGCTGCTTTGACAGGCTTAAAACCTTTAAGAGGTGCACAGCGATCTGCATGTCCATTGCAAAAACAGCTCCCCTTCACAATAAAATCATAGATTGCGTAGTAAGTTAGCTGTGGTGGGTTTGCATTCAGATCATTGCTATGACATGGGCAGGATTGTCGCTTAAGCAGTTGTACTCGAAGGTTTGTGATTTTCAACTGTGCCTGAATTTTAAGACTGTAAGGGTCATCAGCAGAGTTCGGAGGTGACAGAGCTCGATATATAACCTGAAAATAATAAATAAATTGAAACTAATCAGTGAAACAAAACAAGTACGTCAACTCAGAATTTAAAAATGTTTGTGTATATCACCAGGCTGAGCCTGAGAGAGGGGTTACACTTATGATCAGTTTCAAGTCCCTTTACACCCACAAGAGATCTAAATCTATCCCACCTAGAATTCTGTTGACTCTTCAACATTCAATTTGTTTTGACTGTTAGTTAGTAAATCAAATTCTTGAAGGAAGTCTTAGCATATATTCATTTGAACTGCCTTGGCTCCTGATTTCTTGTGCCTGACAGCTTGTGAAGCTGTTAGCACCTCAAACATAGAGCAAGATATAGTTCCTCGTAGGTTTTATTTATTGAAAGCCTGTGACCTCTAGACTTTATTTACAGAGATTTTAAATTTTAGATTTTAAGATTGTCATTGTATGAGGGTTTTTAGTGTTGGAAAAATGCCTTTGAATAAACCAATAATAAAGCTCCTAGCTTTGTCCTGTCCTTGAGGCTGTAAAATATTTCACCATGAACAAGATTTCATACATTTATGAAACAGAATTGCTAGCTTGTCTTTCTTCCCTTAATAATAAAGGAATCAAACATTTGTATCTATGTTAATCATGAAACAAATAAGTTCTAGATCCAGGGAGAGGAAAAGAAATAATGATCATCTAAATTTCTGCCGAATAATGCTGCGGTAGTTTAGTTTCAATGTACACTACAAACGTGAAATGTAAATACAACTACTCATCTATACCAATCGTTTTGCCATCATAATCCCTGTTCCTGAAGTAAGGATATAACAAATATGTTCCAGTAATATCTCAAATCATCTGAATATATGTATTCTGTATTAAACTGCAGCAGAAGAAGCATGTTTTATGTCCCATCCATTAAAGGCTGTCATCTGGTGGAACCCAGGAAGAAAGACTTTCCTGTTGTACCACCTTTTCTAGAGAATATCATTCCACACCCGCCACCCCAAGAGATCAGATTGGCTCTGACATTGTAGGCTGTTTATAAGTCTCTGAAAATGTGGTTATGTTCAAAGTATGGGGTTGTAGGATCAGTTGAAGCCTGTGAAATAATTGTATTGAAATGGTTGTATTGATGACTCTCTCTCTCATTCTCTCTCTCTCTCTCTCATTTTTAAAAATCACATCAGCTGATCGATATTTAGAATTTTGTTTGTGAATTTTTGTTTTTCTGCTGTTTGTTGTTGGTTTTGTTTTTTGCTAGCTACTCAGAGCTGCTTGTTTGAGGCAGGTGGCCTTGTGAATTATATAAACGGAACTAAATAAATAAGTTATGCAACCAAACATACTTTGAAACTCAAAAGATTTAAATCAGGCCATTATGTTTTTATGAATCTGGTTGCAACTTCTGTCTCAGTTTTTCAGGATTTTTTACAGATGATAAATATGAATTGAACCTAATCACTGGTTCTTTCCTTCAATTCTATAGTATAGTATACAATAAATTGTATTCTATTCTATAGTATACGATAAATTGTAATCAGCATTGTAAGTCATTGAAAACAGTTATGGATGTCAGACACAAAAATCCAGGACCGCATGCAAAGTTCCAATTAAATTAATTTATTGCTTATGCCTATGCACAGAAATGTATTCAAGTAACATTGAGCACTACTTGGCACTGGATAAGGATTAACAGAATTCAAGGAGGGGTTGGATTAAGTCCATTTGTGGCTATATAGAAATTCAGGTTGATTCCTCTCTTGACTCCATTCCCACATTCTGCCACAATTTCACCTATAATGGAAGAAGTAAACACAAGGGTTCTATGGGGAAAAAAACCCCTTTTAAAATAATAAAAGTGATGTACAAATTGACACACAAAACTGATGCAATCTTGTCCAAAGCCTATCTTTTCATTAATTCTAATGGAATGATTTAGTTGGGTTTCTGATTCCACTAGCACACCTAATTGTCAGATTGTTTCACCTTCTAACTGCTGTAGAGATATGGTGTTGATTCCAAAATTGTCATATCTAATCACTTTTTTTATCAGGCTGAAGTTTCTTTGCTGACCCAGTATTGGCTTCCTTTTTGAACTACCAAACTTCCCTTAGAGACTGGGGCCACTCATGGTAGGGAGGGGTTGAAAGAAAAAAGAAAGGATTTAGATAATTTACATTTCTGAACAGAATGAATGCATCATGCTTTTGTCTATTCTGTCAGCATGCCAAATTAGGCAGGGGCCAATGTGACAGAGACAAACTCAACTGGATATTTGAATGCCAGCAAGCATGACTTTTGAATATATATATCTAAGGGTTTTTATATAATAATAATAATAATCATCATCATCATCATCATCAGAGAGAGAGAGAGAGTAGGAAAGGAAACAGAGAGAAAGGTTAAATTTATTTATAAAAAAATAAAGCATCAAAATGCATACATATGCAAACTTACAAAACAAGAACCTTTAAAGTAAAATTTTCTTTTATATCAGAATTTTTGAACTCTAACAATTTTTAGATATTCCGTTTACCATATAAATGATATTTATGATACCATTTACAATACTAAATGCAGTTTTGGGAAAATTTAAGACATGTTCATACTGTCTCAGAGTTTCTTTTGTTTTTAAAAAGGATAATTAAGATGTAGAAATTTAAGACCCATGAAATTATACTGAAGGAACTGGGAATGTTTAGCCATGAGAAAAGGAGATGAGGTGGGTTGGAGGTTATTATATCACTCTAAATAGTAAAACAATAATATATAGAAGGCTAAATCTGATTCTCCATCATTCTGGAGTCCAGAACAAGTTATCAATGGATTAAAGTTATATAAAAGAAGATTCCAGCTGAATCTGCTTCAAATGGCAAGAGTAGTTTGATTGATCTGCTTTAATTTGGATCCTTGCACTGGGCAGAGGATCAACCTTAATGGTTTAATTAGCCACATCTAGATTTTATGAAATTTGTTTAAAATATTTATATGTAGTGCTGTGCAACACTTCTGATTTCCAAAAAATGCTTCAGAAGGCTATATACTATTGCTAAACATTTATTTAGAACCCATTTAATCTCATTAGTTGACCTGGGGTATTTCCAGACAGATGACTACTATTGCTAATACATTTTTCTTGTTCTTCTAAGTCATAAACAGAATTGCAAGTGTCTGTCAGTATTATATAAATACATCCCATTTCTTACATGCTTATTTTACAGGTTTATAAGCTTCTTTAGTTCTGTTCATAATCCCATTATGCATAAACTAGATTAAAACAACTAAGAAAAACTGATCAAAAAAACCACATTACAAGGTAAAATATTTCTATGATGAGGAACTATAAAAACCCATATAGGTTATTTATTGTTATATTCTGTCTCTGCCAGCATACTTCCTATTCTCCAGTTGCTGTATGAACAAATGCCAGCATTCTTGTAAGAAACATCTATTTCAGAGTTACTGGGTCTGGATGTTATGCAATTGGAAATTTTTCTCTTGACAAATGTTGATAAAAATTTCATTGATAACAGAATAGGAGGGTCTCAGGTATTTGTAGATAGAGTCAATACATTCCTTTTAATTAGTTCTTTAATCTTGCAATTATTTTCTATGAATATTTCAATGTATTTTCAAAAGAGGTTTTCTATCCTGAATGGGAAAAATAAAAATCACCCCTTCTACCTTGAACTTTGAAGGTTTTTGGCCTCTAATGGGGACATATAAATATTCCTCAGACAAGTTTCTTCCTTTGTCCAAAGATTTATGTTCTTAAGAGTCAGCATGCCATCATTGTGTGTGGATATTTGTCAGATTAAAAGAAATGAATTTCATGAATTTTCAATCCAAAACTAAGTCAAAGAGTAAGGGACGGAATGAGCAACTTTACTTTCTAGCCAGGATAAAGAACCATCAGAACATTCACAGAACAATCTCCTATCACTGAGCACTTTGCTATGTACAAAAGCAAAGGCCTGCAAAACCATCATCAACATTGTGATTGTAGGGTAGCAATGTGAGTACAGAAAACAGCAGTGTGAGTACAGAAATATTTTTATTAGTATCTTCCATATACAATGGAATAAATTAATATATTCCACTTACAAAATGCTTTAATAGGAAGACCCTTTAGATCTTTCAATAGATTGTTTTGCCTAGATTGTGGCTTCCATCCAGTCTATATAGATTTTGCATGAAGAAAATGAATTACATTCTGAGATTCTCATTTTCCCAAGAATATTCCACAGCTTGACCTGGTTGATATAATTTAAGACTTTTCTATAGTTAATAAAGGAGATACTGACTTCTTAATTATCCAACAAACATCAATAATAATATTCTTCTTTTTTTACAAAGAATGTAAACACCTGGCATCTCCTTTCTATATCAGCATGATCCTATTCATAATTTTGCTAGCATGTGAAATAGTGCGATAGTTTGAACTCTTTGTTAAAATGGTGTCCTTTTTTGACATTGGTTTTACTGTTCTTCTCACATATGCTAGCTAGCTATTTTTGGGTTGCTTGCCATGATTCTATAGATTCCTGTACCCTTGTAATTTGGTAATGACTGGAATGCTGATCTGACTTCATTTTCTAATTCTTCTAAATAGATCTTCTCTTCTGATACCCATCTTCCCAAAGCATACTGCTATATTGCTGCTGCCCAATATAGTTGCCTGGTAAATATCTGGGATGAACTACAAGCCTTGGGTGATTTCTGGAAGTACATATTTTTTTGCATACACTCATTCAGATGTTTCATAATTAATAATGTGTATCTAACTCTAAAAAAATGAAGCAATTCTAAGTGGCACATTTTATTAGAGAAAATATTTGTTAACATATTGAGGCTGTAACAAATCTACATTGTTGCAGCTGTTTTAATTACTGGATAAGTATCTTTCTTGCTAACAAGATCATGTATGAGGAAATGGTTAATTGAGGTGCTACAGAATATGCAAGTAGAAGTCCATACATGAATATATACATGAATGCATCATATACATATATACCTTGTAATAACATACAAAAGCAGTCACTGAAAATTCTCAGTTCTGGGAGGAAAATATGCATTCCTTTATCTATTATGTCATAACTGCTCAATAGGAAGAATACCAGCAACTACTCAGACAATAAAATAACTGGAGAAGACAGAAATTAAATTATGATTTCCTTGGGGCTTTATTACCACATATAGAGAAGCTGAAGGTAGCTATCTAAGACGTTCTACTAATTTTATCTGGAGATCTAATTTAGAGGTTTTTAACTTTAAAATATTCAGGATGAATATTTAATGTAATTTCATCTTTTTATGTCATTTTTTCTGGTTGCCATTGGCCCCTTGAGAAATCAAGGCAGGCTAAAATCATTTTCTGTTTTTAAGCCATAGAAAACAAATGAAAAAGGTGGAGGTGGAGGTGGTGGTGAAGAAGGAGGAGGAGGAGAAGGAGGAGGAGAAGGATTAAAGTGTTCTCAATGACTCTGGTCAACTTATGAAAAGCACATGGGAAAATATAAAAAGTAAGTCATATTGAATATTTTAAAGTTGAAAACCTCTAAATTAAATCTTTAGTCCCTGCTTGCTTCCTGCTTCTCCTGCTCCCACACCTGCAATGACCCAGAAGCCAACAGAGGTTCTTCAAGAGCATCTCTTGCCTTTCCCAAGTGCACTGAATGCAAACAATGCATGCAAGATGTTAAGAGTAGGGAAACTAAACTATTAGAAGTGAATCTTCAGTGGCACCAACTTTTTTGCATTTCACAACCTCCTGATTATAAAGTGCAATGGGACATAGACAGTTATGAATTTAGTTATTTATATCTACACTTGCTGTTTAAACTGTTCTGGCCTTGCAGTCATAGTTGCATGAGTTCTCACTTAATAACCTGTGTGGTCCTGGGGGTTGCAATGGCAACTGGGACTGCCAGGATTGTTGTCACTAAACAATTTGGTCATATGACATTGTATTTTACAACCACATCTCTTAGTGATGGAAATTCTGCTCCAATTTCCCTCACAACCCAAGGACTAGCTTAATTATATTCAGATTAGACAGCAAGCTACTACATCATCCATTGGACAATTCTCTTGCTGCTGTGCCTTTCTACCTTTCTCTTCCAGGAAAGCAATGGATAATCACTTTTTCTCTTGTGAGTCGACACATATACTTTGTGGTGTTTGTGTATGTATATGCACATGTTTGTGTGTGTGTGTATTTGGCACATGAAGCACACATATAGGTGTACGCACTCGCACAATATTAACTACAAAGACAGAGCATCAAGATACACAGACATGTTTCCATACAAAATATGGACTGACGCAATGTATATAAACCACTTTATTAGCATAATTATTTGACAATTTTACATTTCATTTTTGGTTTTCATGGAAAGGAGCAAAGAGCTTTTGGTCTTTAATTCTCCTGTTGAGGCTTCTGAAATTGATCACTACTTTTCCCAATCAATCTTTGCATTCCATGGTGTGTATGCCTACTTTTATTAAGACTAAAGATATTTTACTTCTTCTAGTTACTAATTCTTGAGCTTGTGTAGTGTGATTGTCCAGCCTATACTAAATAACTTGATCTCAGTTTATAAAACATATGAGTACAGAGGAAAATCTTGTATCTCCTCCTTCTAGAAGTCTGTTTGTTACACTAGGTCACTTGATTTTTGTGTGACAATACTCTAGAACAATTGAAAGAACTTCAGATCAAATAGAGAAGCACATAATTAGCACAGCAAGGATATCTTCATTCACTGGGACGAGTGACAAACAAATTTAATAAATAAAATAAACTTACACCTACCAACAGTTTTGCTACTATGAGTGAATCAACTGCTACATTAGACAGTTAACTTCTTTAGTATGACTTCCTGACAAAAAAGAGGAATAAAATAGCAGGAAATGGCTAATGGCTGATGTCAGGCATTCAGGGTGTGAGATGAAGAATTTGATAAGTACACTCTACATACCAATAATAGGTTGGTTTTCTATTATAGCAATTTGTTTTACCATAATTTTCTCAACATTTAAAGAGAATGAGTGTCATTTGCAAAGAATGGTAATAAAATACCCAGCTATAGACAAAGAAGACAAAGCTCACAAGTCTTCAAGCAACCAATATTGTGCCTAGAAATATAAATGAGCAATCTTTATCTTTTATCTTTCCATTTAGTATAACAAAAACTGATATTCTTTTTAAACATAGTAATTTAAAAACAAGGTTTCAGATGCAGGTGGCAGCATCTGGCCAACTTTGCCTGGCATTTGGAAGTTCACCAGAGTTGGACCTGCTTAATAATTGGATGGGACACTTCCCGGTAATATTAGTATTGTAGGCTAGACTGGAAACTTCTTTACCTTTTACTGAGAAATAGAAAGTGGAGGACATTACAGTTTTTAAGCAACACTGAATTGTTTATTGTCATGGATATCTTAATGAACTCACCTCTCCTCCAGTGCAGGGGAAATGGCTGGAGTATCTTGAAGTGCAAAGTGCCTCTTTCTTAGTTACGTCATCATCCAACCCAAAGGCTGCTGAGCAGTTGATGGAAAAATACTTATAAGGTTTCCAAGTTTTTCCAAAATCCTGAGATCGCTCTAGGACCATGGCTGCTGGTCTTGGTGACTTGAATATCATGATCAAATGAGTGAAATAAAATTCAGCTTCCAAATTGAGCTGGATCTTCTCCCTTTGTATTCCTTGTGCTGATTGCCACCATGTGTGTGGTAATCTAAAAGATGAATCAACCATAGCAGAAGGAGGATGAGCCAGATGTATATTCATAGAGTTGCATTTGCTACACTTAGGCCGCTTGCATAGGAGGTCTGCATTTTCACTGTAAGAACAGTATAATTCTGTGGAGTTGTATCCACATGTTGTATCTGTCCACAATTTACGTCCATGGCCCAGGTTTCCCATTTGAGGATTGCATGCCTTCTCACAGTGAGACACAGTTCCAAGAATACTATTCAATCCTAAATAAGAAAAAAAAAGGCTTCAATGAAACTCCTCATATGTATCCAATCCAAACATTTATCAAGGAAGAGGGGAAAAAAGAAAAAAGGAGCAGACACAATGGGGGAATTATTTGTTGAAATAAGATGGGATTTGCAAGATATAAAGGAAATGATGAAAATGAAACTGGAAATGTGTAACAATTTATTACAGAAGTTAGAAATGGCGACTCAGCTTGCAAAGGAACAAAGAGAACCAGAGGGGGAGGAGTCAAACAAAGAGGAAGCCAGCTTTGAAGATAAAGTGGAACAACGATCATTTAAGCGGGGGGTGGGGGTGGGGAATAATTAAAATTAAAAATCAGTGGTCTGATGTGATAATGAAAGGGGGAATGGTTCGGAAAATGAAAAAAAAAGGAAAGGGAAAAAGCAGAAAAGGGAAGTGCAGAAGAAAGACCAAGAGAGGGAGGGAGATAAATTAAATAATTGGAATGAGAAATGGAGGGGAATAATAATGGGGGAAAAGGGAATTAAGAGAAAGGACCAGAAAATAAAGAGAAATAGGAAGCAAACAAGAATGAAAAGGAATTATATTGTTAGGAGAGTGAGAGATAATGGGTAAAAAAAAGGGATAGGAAAGGTGATTCCGCAAGGTAATATGCTGTGATATATAAGAATAAGTATTGAAAATAGATAAGATTGTAACTGATATCAGTTTTTAAAATCTCTTTTATTTCTTCTTTTTAACTAAAGGATTATCGCTACATTAGATATGGAACTTAATGAAATAAATGGGAATTTATAATAAGAATATTATATATTAATTGATGATCAGTGATGCATAAAATATGAGAATTATTATGGAAAGATTTATCAGTTGCTATAATTAATTGATTATATTAATGTTTTTGCAATGTGTAAATGACTTATAAGGTGATCAAGAAAATGTTATGCGGAATCTGATATAAAATATGTGTATGTGTGATATGTAGTAAATAGGGAAATATTGTTATTAAAGTAGAATGAGGGTGGTTAGCTTGAATTATTAACCAAAGGGGACAATTTTAAAAATTAATAGAATAAAGATTGATAAAATTGCAAATGTGACAGATAAAGGCAATATGGGAAATGAATATAGAAATGAGACAAGAATTTTAGATAACACTGTAAAATAAGATATGAGAATATCCTAAGAAAAATGAAATAAGTTATAATATGAACTGAGATTGGATAAAATAAGTCTAAGGAATTTAATATTAACAAGGAGTACTGGGATATGAAATTGAATAAGTAAAATGAAGAGGTAACTACGGTCATGTTTGTACTGAGATGTGAAACCTGAAACCACATTGTTTGCCAAATGAGAATTTTTATTTAAAATAAAAAATAGGAGAGGAAATTGAATAATGAAATTACTAGGCATGTTTAAATGATATGGTGGTTGGCACTAGGAGAGAGTACTGAAATATTGAAAATAATCAATGAAGGATTATGATTTAATGTGAATATGTGTATTAAGAGACATGATTGGTATTATTAATTTTGCTTATACTAAAATGTATGATGTATTGATGCCACACTATTTATGTATTGTTGTGTATGTGTAGATTGAAACAAAAAAAAACTTGATTAAAATATGTATCCAATCCAGTGAGATATTGAGTTTGTTTTCTTACAAAATACAAAATACAGTAAGAAAACATAGTTAAATAAACAATGGATCCATTATACTCTCAATCTCAGACCAGCTCCATTGTATATCTAGATAGATAATAATACTCAACTATTTTATAAGGCTGTTTTAAGGAATATTGTGATAATTTTTGTTAAAAACATTGACCATTTATATCAAATGCTTTTACTAAGAAATGAATTTGTCCAAAACTCTTGAAATACTCAATTTCATGGTAACTAAATTAATTCCAAGCAGGTCTTCATTTACAGGATTGCTCAGTTATAATACGTTTTATAAAGTTGTACAACACATACTTTTCATGCTCAAATATTAACATCACCAACTACAAATCTCTTCTGCCAGAAACCTTGAAGGACCCCTGCCAGTCAGTGACAATTACTTGGGAAAGAATGGATTACTGGCTCAGTATAAAGCAACTACTTAAGTTCTCGTGCAAGTCTAAACATTACAAAATGATATACTGCGCATTACCAAGAAATTACTAAAAATTGTTAAATGGAAGATCATTATTAAATACATGTCAAGAATACATAGATAATAATATTATTGTCTGTTTTATGCCTAAGGCATCCCTTTTTCTTTTCTTTTTGACTCATGAAATGTATTTCAAAGTTTTCTGTTTACATAAACACTCAATTAAAACAAATTTAAAATAGGAGGGTAAGATCAATAGTTAACAGCAAATGTATGCATACTATTTTCAGAGGCTGTCTACTCCAGACATTTCTTCTTCTGCTCTGTTCATCCTATCACTTTTTGCTTAAACAATGAAATGTTCATATGCAATAAATTATACTGATTTCTCAGAAAAAAACATGGTTAGGATCAAGGTTGATTTTTTTACTTTGAAAAGAAAAATTGTCCTATCTTAGATGCAGACAGCATGCTTAAGCCTACAAAAGTAAATAAGTACACTAGTAAAAGTCACATTATAATATCCAACTCTTTTCAAAGTGCTGTACAAACATTAACTAATCTATATAGGTCTCCTGAGAAGTAAGGAAATATTTTCAGGTGTGTTATCACTCACAATTGCCATAAATTGCCTCAGTTAACATGCTGGCTGTTAAATTCTTCACTTTCATTATGCTACATAGGTCCTTTACCTACTATATAATCAGGTTTCCTGTAGCAATTTGATGTCTATGGAGATTTTCAGTTACCCATGGTCGTAATAAAGGCAATTGGGCTTCCTTTGTTTTTTTCTTGAAGATGCTTCTCATCCAAGAAGAAAGAGAAGTGAAATGTCTTCAAGGGAAAAACAAAGTCTAGTTGCTTTTTGAAAAAGCATCTTTGGGTAGCAGCTTAATCTATTCCATTTATTTGCAATCTAGCAAAGAAAAAATCAGAAGCATAAAAAATTTACCTTAGAGAAAATAAGTAATCTTATGTATATCCTATGAGTTAAAATACATTGTCTTTTTTGAAAAAGTTTGCCTTGCCTTTTAAACTCAAATGTCTAGTCAATACAGGATTAGATAAAATACTGAAAACATGCAAAATTAGGCTTATGCTTCATGAGTCTTGGTCAACACTCTTTAGAAAAATAGCCAGCGGGAATTTCGCAATCAAAGGAAGAAATCAGGAGAGCAAACAGGGATAAGAGCTTTGTCAGAGAATTTAGCAGGAGAGGAAGAAGCTGGCTTGAGATACTGTCAAAAGGATGGCATCAGTGGCATCAGTGGAGCACTGAGAACTTGGAAGCTGTGTGCTGTGTTTACCAGAAAATTATGCTAATTACCTCTGTGGCAAATACTAGCATTTCTCCTTGCAGAAGGAAAGGGGGAAAGAACTGGAGGCTAGCCATTCTTTTTCATACACATCAGGGATTGTGACAATCACAGCAGAATTGCACAAACAGCTTTCCACAAAGGCTGACAGAATGAGGCCTTTAAGGAGGAGGGCACAGGAAGTCATCTTGAGACAAGGTCAATAAGAGAGCAGCACAAGAAGGAAAAAAAGCACTCCAGGGGAGGGATGAGAATTTGGAGGATTGTGGCAAGAGCAGTGGGGTGAACATGATGGTCCTCCAAACCAAGGAGTTGATCAAAGAATGCAAACATGGAAGCCAAGCACCATCTACCTGAGAAAGTTCTATTATTCCAGCCTCTCCAGCTCTGGTCAACAAAACCAAGAAACCCAATTGAAACTTCCACTAAGGAGGAAAAGAAGTGCAGTAGTGGTAGTGGTGAAAAAATCACTAGTACACCAGATATAAGGAGCCATAGTAAGGGGAACTCCATGTTGGTGCACAAATTCAGAATATGAAGAAAAGATTACCAAGACTCATCAATCTGATCACGATCCATTCTTGCTTATCCATGTGTGGTTAACCAATGTTGCTAAAAGAGGGTTGTGAAAAAAAAAACGAGGGTAAAAAGATAAAGCTATATGGATTGTAGGAAGTGTTGTCAAGGAACAATAAAGGAAATAAAATTTGGGGGGTGAAATCCTGGGGCCATGAAAATGGTGTTGTCAAGAAAGATTTGGATTCTTAAACCATGGTCTTCAGCAGTAAAAGATACTCTTAGTGATGTGGTGAAGTGCACCTCATAAAAACAGGAGGCAATTATTTTGAGAAGAATCTTGTGAATTTAATGCCAGTAAGGTTCTTGTGTCTCCTGATAAGATGCGCACAGGGCCATAGTGTTAAAAAAAAAAGAAACAAAAGCCAGTTGTTCTTAATTCAGAAGATCCTTAAAACAAATATAAAATTGAAACATTTTCTTTCAGGACTTTGGATAAACAACTTGAGAAAAAGTGGAACTTTGTTACTGCATATGTTGACTGTGGCTTATAGGCACACAAATGGAAATACACATCATTTCCACAATGGAAGATGTGACGGAGAAAGCGATGGAACTGGCAGAGATGGCAAAACTTGCTTTAATTAAAGAAAATAACTTATCCAGTTTTGTTTCTACTTGGAAACTGTTTCTGGACTTTATGCTCAAACAAAAAATGAAATGTTGATCTTATGCTTTGATGATTAGATTATTTTGTTGTTATATAAATGGCTAGTACTTACTAATATGTAAAGCAAAAAAGTTGAGGTTGTAACTGTATTTTATATTCCACTGTACTGAAAAAGTTGTAAGTCACTGCTTTTTTTTCTTTCCCTTTTACTTTGCATCTTTCCCCCTTCTCTTCCTTCCTTTCTCTGTTCCATTAATATCTGTTTCTATCTGTATTTTATATAATAAACTTCAATTAAAAAAGAAAAATCTAATCTAATCAGCTAAACACAACATTATGAAAAACATTTTTGACATCAGTTCCCTATTTTACTTACTGCTTTTATATTTCTCCTTTTTTTTCTTCCTCTCTCAGTCCAAAGTTTATTGTCAAGCTGCACTTTGTTAGATTTCAATCCTGTGTTAATGCAAGAGTTCGAGGAAGTGTACATATTCCTTTGTCTTCTTTTTCTCACAACAGTCCTGTGAGGGTGGACTGATTATTCATACACCATACAGGACTGAAATCTGTAGTATCAGACAAGACCCTGCATGAGGTAATACTGTAAAAGGATTTAGAGCTGATCTTGGGAAAGATATGAAGGAGCCATTAAGCCTGAAAGAAAGGAGTAAGCCATTAAGGAGAGTCTTTGACAAGAGATTATGCAGTCCAGAGATAGAAAGATGCATGAAAAAGAAACTCAGAATAACCCCACCTTGATTTTGTTTTGTATAAACAAAAAGAGAACAGAGAAAAATTTGGACAGGATTTCCAGATTGATGCCAACCCTTTGAAGTAGGCCAGGGGAAGAAATACTTTATTGTTGTAAGGTATATTAACAGAATCTTGAAAACCTGTCCAAAGTTTTCTCTCAAAGGAAACCCAAGGTGGAATTAGTTTGAGTTTCTTTTTTCATGCTTCCTAGTTTCAGGACAGTGTAGTCCAAGTCCCTTAATTAATCCTTGCTGCACTTTTTCTATATTACATTGCCTGGTCTGAATATAAATAATGTAGCTGCATTAACAGCTTTTTTTTTTTATTCCTCAAATCTATATGAGCTATTTTCCGCTATTTAAAGTAAAAATGCCAGCATGTGGCATTCATGGAATGGATATCAGAGCAAAAGTATAGTCCTCGGGTATAAATATTCAGAAGGAAAATCAATGTACAATGTACAAAGAATGCCAGTAGATCACAATAATCTCTAATTTGTTCATTGCAACTAATGCTAATCAGAGAAAACAATTGTCACACACATTCCAAAGAGTAATTCTCTGAAATCATGCCACTGGAATTACCTTAAGTATCTTTTTTCTGCTTTAAACAATTGTACTATTTACTTAATGTGTAAAGAATGAAGTAGTAAGTAAATTCTGCCATCCTACATTGCCACATAGGTATGCAAGTTAGTCTTTCTTTAATTCCACTTAAATGACACATTACACATTTGTGTTGATTCTGAGGAACTAATAAGGCCCGTTTAGGATCCAGGGCTATATGTTTAGTTCTGTGTACAGTATACCTTCTATAGAAATACTCTTTATTTTCTGAGTGCATATATTGTTGCACCCTGCCAGTGAATGAACTAATAAGATCAACAGTTCTGCATACCTTTTTTGGACAGGCCTTGTGCCTTTGAGTAAGTGTTGATCTATTCTTGCAGTTTTCTTGGCAAGGGGTTTCAGAAGTGATTTGCCATCGCTTTCTTCCTAGGGTTGAGAGAGCCCGACTGGCCCAAGGTCACCCAGATAGCTTTGTGCCTAAGGCAGGACTAGAATTCATGGTCTCAGTTTCTAGCCTGGTGCCTTAATCACTATACCAAACTGACTCTCCCTGAACACCCATTACAATAGAATACCCACTATTCAGTATTTTTCAAGTGAGGAAGGAAAGCTGCAATATTATAACAAAATTATTTTATATTCGGCGATTGTAAAATTCCATTTCCTTAAGGTTATGATAATCATACGCAAAAACGTAGTATATTATAGTATATCTGCCGAATAGTTTTAAGAAATTCGTCTTTCTCTCTTGCGCAGCTCCAGCCCTTTAATGACTTTCTTCTAATCTCACGGAACCGCTACCATCGTTTAGTTTAGAAAGCGAATTTAATCTCGTTTATTTACAATATAAGCACCTCTGCCCTGCGTTCAGTCGAAGGAGGAACTCTGCGAGTGACAGGGGACATTGTTCAGCTTCTGTCCCAAGCAGGGTAGGGAACCGTGCGGGAGAAGCACCCCCGAGTCAACCGCGCGCCAACCTCCCCCGCGAGGAACCGTTTCTAAAAGCGTCTCTTCTCCAACTATCAGCAGACCTGCGGGGGGAAGAGCTACTACACCCAGCACTCCCGCGGGCTCCGAGACACCCACCTGCAGAGCAGCCCAGCAACACGAGGTGCCAGAAGGGACTCCCCATGGCGGAGCGCGGGGCACCGAGCAGGCATGCAGTCCTGGGGGCGCGAACCCTCTCGATCTGGGCGCCGCTAAGGACGACAGGCAGGCTGCCTCGCCACAGGCCCCCACAGGGCGACGGCCCGAGGACCGTTTGAGCCAACCCGAACGGCATGCGCAACCGCGGGCATCTTTTTCGCTCCTAGTCGTAGCCGATCACCGCCAGCTCTGCTCCCTCGTCGCCTTTGCCGCCACCTATTTCTCCCCGCTGGGGGATCCCCGGCCAGGTGCATGAAGAAGCGGCGCCGATCCTCCTATCCCGCCCCTCCGGCTCGTCTCCTCGTCCCGAGTGACAGCCTGAGAGGGGAGTGGCGGCGGCTGAGGCTGAGGCTCATACTAGAGGAGCGGCGGCGGCGGCGGCGGCGGCGGCGCCCCAGGACGAAGAGAAGGGCCGGCTCCAGCTGCTCCCACCCCTCCCGTCTGTCTTGGGGAATAGTGGAGACCGCCTTTCTCGTCCCCCGCTCGCCCCCGGTGCCTGCCTTCCTTCCCCACCCAGCCGGCCTCGGCCCTCCAGGGGGCCTGGTACTGTGGTAAGCAAAGACCGGGCTGCCCCCTGACCCAGCGCCGCCCTCCCGGCTCTCTTCTCGCGGCATTCCTCAAACCCACTGACTTGTCCGCTGTCACTTCGCGGCGCGCCAAGGTGCTTCAGCCGGGCGGTCGGCAAGGAGAAGGGAGAGGATTTCTCCGCTTCTTTCCTCACTTCTTCTTTTTCTTTTTCTTTTAGCCTTATCACCCCGCTGCCTTCTTCCCTCCCAGCTTACCTCGGAGGGCGACTGACCTCTTACCCTGCAGTCACCGCGGCCAGCTTCCATGGAAGGTACTTCTTGCCTTGACACAATAGAAAAAAAGGCCACCTGGGCCGCCTTCTTTTTCTTTCTCTGATTGCTTCCTGCACCATCTTCCTAATCCACTTTTTTTAAAAAAAATCAAAAATTAAACCAATGTCTCCAGTTCAGATATTAAAGAGGAGTGTGCAGACTTGACTGCATTGGCCATGAATGCTGTCCATTGCTCATTTTACACATATTAAGTCTTCGGAAAATAATATTTGTATTTATTAATTAAATTTGTACAGCTACACATCTCCACAAAAGCACCTCTGGTGGCACACAGTAATTAAAAGATAAAAAGATTTCCCCTGTACTGTCCCATTCTAGGGAGCCATGCTCAGCTCTGTTTCCTAGTCAAGGAAGCCAGTGTTGTCAGAAGATGCTTCAGTGGACAGCATGACTATAACCTGAGACACAGAACATTGTTACTTTCCTACTGAAATTGACCTATTTATCTCCTTGCATTTGCATGCTTTCAACCTGCTAGGTTCAGGAGGTGGAGCAGGATTGGGAGCCCATGCTGTCATGCTTGGGTCTTGAACTGCCAACCTTCTGGTTGACAAACCCAGCATCTTAATCACTAAGCTACTTTGCTCCTGTACAACAATTCAATTTCACTAAAATAAGGTTTCGATTTTTTTTTTTTTTTGCTTTTGTTATGAAAACATTTTATTCACTGGATTCACAAGCTGTAAACTGCAATAGTCTCAGAAGGAACCCATTAAAAAAAAAGCAAGCTGATTAGGTTTGTCCAATCAAAGCTGGAGTATTGTAGAAACTTGTTCCAGCTTTGCCTATGTCTGAAGCAGGGCTGTGTTTGCTTAGGAGCAAGGGTTGATAGCCAATAGCAATAGCCAACTGCAAAAAAATAATCTGCCAAAGACATGGTGAGACTGCTGAATGTCCTCCACCCACTGGCAACTTCTAGCATGACATGTAATAGTAGACCCATTCTCTTTGGATTATCTGTAGTGTACAATATTTGTTAATAAAGTTCAGAATTTTCTCCACTTATTTTAATTGTCAAGCCTTTTTAAAATAAGAAACACAGGGGCTAGCTAAGTATGTTTAGCTAGGGCTTGATCAGTGCTTGGTGCTGTGCCATAGTGCTCCTGTAGTAAACATACAAATTACTTTTTCTGTATTATAGCTTTTGGACCCTTTTAGTACCCATTGCAGATTACAAATATTTTTAGTCTGCTTGTATTCATATATCTACAGTTTGCAGACAGAATATTTATGAGATCATTGCTCAGCTTGAATTACCTGATAACTCAACACAGAAAATAGCAGCCCAACCTACCTGGAATGGCAAATTACGGCATCATTTCATGGTGGCAGGTCAGGGCTTCCACGGAGTGAAGGGCTTGTTTTTATCTCTTACGACTCTTTTGCATCTGGAGATTTAAAATTGGCAGAAGGGAGTAAAACTGTAGGTGCAGAATACTTTTTCAAATGGTCCTTTTTGGTGGTAGTGAGGAGTGCATTATGTTCTTTTGTTGTTGCTGGTTTGGGATGACGTTGTTGTGGACAGAGAACAGCTTGATTGCAGCTGCTGTAATGATTAAATTCCAATGGAAATGAAATGCTACAACCTAGCAGAGATGTTGGAGTCAGGGGAGATAATGAGAAATCCCCCCATGGAAAACAAGCCCAATCATAATGTTAGCCACCACCCCTTTTCAAGAAAAGGACTTAGCATCATATCCAAAAGCCAAGGAAAAGAAGGAGTACGCTTCATATCCAAAGTTATTCTATAATGCAGAGAAACAACCAATCTGGGCCTCTAATGGTCATTGTCTGGACTTGGCACCATCCCTGCCCCTTTGACAAACTGGTGCAATCCAGACAGGATTTTTAAATGTTGCCTTATCTCACTGTTTCTGAAGCAACTTTAAAAATTTCCTGTCTGGATTGTACTAATTTGTCAAAGGGGCAGGGTGGGTCTGAGTCCAGACAACAACCACTGCAGGCTCTGATTGGTTGTGCCCCTGCTTCTTGCCTTTCACGTCCATGAGGGGAAAGGAAAGCCTCATTCTCTGTTTTAGTGTGTGCACACGTGTGTGTGTGTGTATCTGTATGTGCTAGTTTACCAGTACCTGCCTTTTCCTTCAAAACCTTTTTGTTGGTTCCCCATTTTTTTTTATTCACTTTCCCAGATATTTGACCACTTAGATGCCTTCACACCCCCTTCCCATAATCTCTCCTTTGATACTAATGCACCCTCCACCCTCACTGTATTATTGATTCTCTGGTATTCCATGATTAAAACAAAGAAAAAAAAATGCTTGTTTCTTGGTCTCTTTATTACACCTTGGGACAATTGAAACATTGTAGTAAGCAAGGACTGATAGTTCAGATAAGAACAAGGAGCATTTAGGGGTACTTTGTAACTTGATTTCAACATGCACATGTTGCAACTTAAAGATAAGAAGGGAAAGGGGAGGGGAAGGGAGGAGACGATTAGATGGGGCATGAAGAAAAGAGTACACTTTGCCCAGCTTGGAGAGAAACTGAAAGAATGTCCATGAGGAGATGCCAGGGTGGAATGAAGGTGTGCTGGGTGAAGAGGTGGAGAAAACATGGTAGCCTGAAGATTTACTGCCTTCCATGGTCCTTATGGGTCATCCCTGGGGTAACTGGAATATATAAAGATAAAGGAAGCTGCTGACCGGTTGAGAACATAGCAATTCAGCAACCTGGGATGAAATAGCCATACTATAATCAGGTGCTAGAAATATGGGCATGCCAGATACTGTAGCCAGTTGAAATTGAGGATGTTCCTAGACTGGAACGAACCTTGAGACAGAAGGCCTTAAGACAGCTTAGTTTGGGAAATAGTATGGCTGAGGCAAAGCAAAGTTTCAAAATGCAGGCAGGAGCATGTACTGTGGCCTGGAAATGGGTGGAAGACCATGATATCTATTCCTGCTTTCCAAAAATGGCGGTTAGCCCATTCTGGCAACTGGGCAAACAGAAAATGTTGCCTGGACTAGATACAGATTTGGCAGCAGATAGAATATTCCACTGGTGGACAAAGGGAACAACAGTTGGAGTTCTGAAGTGTTTAGGAAAGAATGTTTAATTTTTTAAAAAAACAAATGTATATTTACTTTTTACTTTTCTATTAGGGTGATTTAAATTATTAAACATTTTATTATAATAATTAAAAGTGGACAGTGGGGTTTATTTTTTAACTACAAGCCTGACCAAAGTTCACTATTTAATATATTGGTGTCTGTATAAGTATGTAGCATTCTTGTTATAATTTAACAGGATGTCTTTGCATGGGGTGCAATTATTCAGATTCTTTTAGCCATCTGAATTTGTGTCATGTGTTTGGCTTGGTATGGTCAATTTTTGGGGGGGAGGGGTGTCAATTTTCTTCCCATTTTTTTCCAGTGAAGTTCCACTGCAATGTATGCATGTATGTATAATCCTCATTTAATGACCACAGTTGGGACTGGCAACTCCATCACTGAGTGACAGGATCATTAAGACTTCATGTGACCACTGGTTTGCTATCAATTTCTCCATTGACTCTGCCTGTTGAAACCTGTTGTAAAGCATGTAAATGGCAATTGTACCGCTATAGAACACTGTGATGTTTCTATATGCTTACTAGTTGCAAAGTGCACAAACCTTGATCACATGAGAGCAGGGATGCTTCATCAGTTGTAAATGTGAAGACTCGTAAAGTTGTTTTTTCAAACAGTTGCTAAAAAGGCAGTCGTTAAGCAAGGAGTAACTGTTTGAATGTATTCAATATGTATGGCCACCCATCTCAAATCCATGACTTTGTATGGCTAACAACATATATCAAGTAAAAAAGGAACAACCAACAACTAACATAACCATTATGCAGCTTCTGCTATAGATCCAGATCACCAAACTGAGTAAAAAACTGCATCTTTAAGATCTTACACAATACTACCAGATTTAGGCCAATCTAATCTTGGGCAGGGGGAGAGGGGGATTAATGTTCCAAAGAATAGGTACCATAACAGAAAAGGCTATCTTCCTGGGTCCTGCCAGATGACACACTCTGCTTGTATTAGCTTCTTGATATTCATCAAGGGCAGCCCCATGTAAAGCAAATTGCAATAGTCTTTTTGGGAGGTAAATAAGACAAGCATGACTATCAGAAGTCTTCTTGTCCAGGAGTGGCCACAATTGGTACACATAAAAGCGTGCAAAGGTCCTCCTGACCACGCCTGCCACCTCAAAACAAGAGCCTTGAGTTCTGGAGGACTTCCAAATTTCACATTTATTCTGTTTGGGATAGCGCAATTCCATCCAGAGCTAAAGATGGAAAGTGCCTGAAACCATGGAGGCCCTTATACTCAAAAGTAATTCAGTATTACTAGGGTTGAGTTGAAGTCTATTGTTCTCCATTCAAATCCTCACAGCTTCCAGACATTGAAGCAGAATCTCCATAATATCACTTGG